GAGTATGGAACACTACGGCCCTGGCTCGCTTTGTCCGCGGCCTTGGATGGAGGAGTGAAGCTTGGAGGCGCCCCTGTTTGGAGGGAAGTGTAGAGGGCGAGGAGATCTGCCTTGGCTGATCGTCGTGGGACGCTGACGCCGGAGCTGACGAGCGCCTGGCGTAGTTCTGCCACGGTCCATTTCTCCGCAGCTGGGGCGGGGGAGAGGGCTGAGGCGTAGGAGGACGCTGGAGAAGGTGGCTGACGCCTTGAAGGCGCAGGTGATGGCGTGCGTCGGTGCCTGGAGGTATGCGCGATGGCGGCGCGGGAGGGCCGGCGGCCCCGAGTTGCAGCCGCGGGCTCGCTTATGGTGTCCTGCGGAGCGCTGGTGTGCTGGACGGCGACTGAAGACGCCGGAGGACCCGTGGTGTCGAATTCGTTATCGTCCGGGAAAAGCTCGATGTCTGACATGGTGCTAGGATGCTAAGGACGGGAGATAATGGAGGTAAGGCTGCTTTGATTATTTATAGAGGTTCTCTCTTGAGCTGATTGGATAGATGGTGTAATTACTGATGATGAACTGGCCGTGTTAATTATCTGTGCGCGCTCCTCCCGAAACTTGTTAATAAAACATCACATAAATAAAATTATATTTTTTTTTTTTGAAAATGACCGATTGTTTCGCTAGAGAGTAGAGCCCTATGAAGCTTCATTGAAATATCAATTTGGACCTTCAGCCCATTGGCCACCATTGAAGTCCACTATATGGAGAAAAATCCTGGAATGTTTTCCTCAAAAAAGTACTTTTCTTTGCAAAAGAAAGACATGAACATCTTGGGTGACATGGGGTGAGTAAATTATCAGGAAATTTTCATTCTGGAAGTGAACAACTCCTTTAAACGACTCTAACATTTTGAATGGTTAGGTAGTATAGGGATGTAATGATGAACCGCAAGCCGGCTGAAAATCGATTCAAATATGTGACTATTCAAATCGGTTGACATTTCAAACAAATTTTGATACAACTGGAGTAGGGGTTTATATGAATGTATCTCTGAGGGGATCTGACTGTCTTTAGAAAAGTTTATGTGGCATTTTCATTTAATCTTGCCTTTCTGAATGATACATATTAGTGTTCATAAGTGCAGCTCTGCTTACAGCGGTAACCCAGGAAACACTATCTCATTGCTGTACAAAAGTGCCACCTGCTGGCAGAGAGTGAATTTGTGTCTCATTCAGCTCGTCTGCTGTTTCGTTCAGATATGTTTTATGTAGTATAGTTTCACAAAACTAAAGTAAGACCATTCTGTTTTTGCTTCAAATTTCGAAATTATACAGTCTAATTTAGATTAAAAATTGCTCAAGCTGCATGTACACAGCATCTTTGTTTGGATCATGATTAAAATGCAGTGGTTACTTCCAATTTTAAATGGAAAGAGCACAGGCAAAGCCTTAGTTTGTTTATATGAAGAGATTTCTTTTATTTGTGTAACTTATTTGATTTGTGTTTTTTTTGTTTTAAAATTTCAATTTAGTTTTGTTATATTTCAATTTCACAAAGAAATGTGCAGCAATAGCCTAATAAAAGGACACCTTTTCATTTACTGTATAATGTCTTCAAACTCAATTTGTTCAAAAAAATCGTGAGAAAATCGAATCGTGGAATCAAATCGTGAATCAAATCGTGAGTTGAGTGAATCATTACCTAAGGTAGTATACATAAAATTATGTATGTAATCTTATAAATGTTATGTATTAAAAATATATAATGTAATAAATATGATAGGCATAAATAATAATGCTCTCTCTCTCTCTCTCTCTCTATAT